ATACAAGGGAGGAAATTATAAAGATCAGAGGAGAAATCAATGCAATGGAGACTAAGAGAACGATACAAAAAATCCATGAAGCCAAGAGTTGGTTCTTCGAAAGAATCAACAAAATTGACAAACCTTTAGCCAACCTTGTCAGAAAAAGGAAAGAAAAGCACTGTGTGGCTCCAGCTTGTCCTTCTCAGCAGCACTGGACCTGATACTGCCTCCGGGTGCTTACACACTCCATGCCTGGGGGTGCACCTCAATGCCCTCTCCTCGGACTTCTTTTTCCTCTACTGGTGCCCCATCCATCCTTCCAGCCCTGACTTAAATCTCTGATTCTCCATAAAGCCTTCCCAGGCCCTCTGTGTTGAAATGAATTGCTCCCCTTCTTGTTCCTAGCATCTCATTGTGTGGTAAACATAAGCCATGAATTAGGTTTAAAGCTCCTAAGGATCTCATTCGTCCCCCTGACTTGCTTATGATCTCCTGGCTGGCAAGGATTGAGCTGTATTTATCTTTGTGTCTCCAGTGTCTGGCTCTGGGCCTGGCATGCAGCAAGCCCTTGATTGAAATGTGTGTGAAATTAAGTTGCCCTGGGTGTTTTTAATGGTAGGATTATCACGCAAAGCAACAGTAGCTTTCCATTATTTAGTACTCACTGTGGACCTGGTATTTTACATGTCATATTTCCTTTAGTCTTCAGAGCAACCTCACAAGGGGAGCAGTTATTGCCTTTATTTTAGAGAGAAAGTACCCAGCGCTCAGAAAGGTAAGGTATCTCCTCAAGGCTACACAGCCTGGAAGCTGCTGAGCCATGGTTGGAACCCAGCTCCACTTCTCTGCAAAGCCCCAGCTCCTTCCATGAATCCTGCTAACTCCTGGGTCACTGGATTTGTGGGGAGAAGTCTGGAGGTGGGGTAACTTGTCTTCATTATGGTTGAAGGATCTCACAAGCTTCTAGAGGCTGGTGAGGCTGACTGATGGATTGTGCTTCTCTGCAGGAGGAATCAGCTTTGGGAGAAGCAAGGGGACTTCGGGCTCAGAGGCAGATGACGAGACGCAGCTGACGTTCTACACAGAGCAATACCGCAGTCGCCGCTGCAGCAAAGGTAAGTCTTTGCTTGGGAAGCATCCGGAACCAGAGTGTGTGGGCAAAGCCCGGAAAGCAGATTTTGTGATCAATGGCAAACCAAACTCTTTTTCAAATTGGTTAGCACCAAGCTTGGTACCTGCTGACCCAGCTGGACTAGAGACCTTCTTTTTCTTTTCCCCATTCTCCATTCTTTACTTCCTGGCTTATATCTTTCTTCAGAGTATTTGAGGGAAATTTTTTCCCTAAATTTATGCAGTTTTTAAAATTCAACTCAAGAAATGACTAATATTAAAAGGAAAATAGAAGTAAGGAAAGTTACTCAAACTCAAGTTAGGTCAACGGAGGGAAACCCAGGTCACAGTGTGTTAGGTGGTTCTCATAGGAGCTGCCACATTAGAGATTCCTAGCAGCAAAAGTACAAAGGGAGCTATATTAAAAATAAAACTTGGGCCGGGGATTTAGCTCAGTGGTTCTGGTGCCTGCCTTGGAAGCGCAAGGTCCCGAGTTCGATCCCTGTACCAAAAAAAAAAAAAACAAAAACCCAAAACACCCAAAAATAAAACTTACAAGGGTCTATGGGATAGAAGCAATTTTGATCACAAAATTCTATTTATGTGAAACAGTCCTCCAGTTGGTGGCCATGCGACTTTCTAGACTGTCTTCAACAGATAAAAATACAGTACTGATGCAGATTACCTATCACAATGGCTGTCAATGGAAGGTGTTGTCAAAATGCTGTAGCAAGACTCCACAAAGGGCCAAGTCTGTGGCTGAGGTCTGTAGTTTTATGATTGTTCAATGTGTTATATAAGAAAATATGGTATGTTTCAGGCAATTAACCTCTGAATGTCATTCTTCACCTCTGAGTGTTTCATGAGAATAGGAAATCAGCAAGCTTGAGTGTGTTCCTGGAAGAGAGCCTGGGCAGCAAACGTGTGTTCCAAGCCAAGGATTAGTCCAGAACCCGCTGATAGGAAGGCCCTGTGTCACTCATGCAGGCATCTGACAGTATGTCTGGCCTTCCCATGCCTGCACAGAATTGGGCTAATGAAGTACCTGGGGCAGGAAGGAGGAAGAGGAATCTTCCCCATGTACCATTCTGCATGCATTTTGCCCATTTATGATGAACATTCAAAGAGCATACATTCTCTGGACTCCTTTTGCTCTTATGTCAGTTATTACCTTCTGTATGGCTCAATTTTCTCATCTGCAAAATGGGCCTTATACTACCTTGTGGGTGGACTCAAATTATATATGAAAATTTTATCATGGTGCCTGGTGTACACTAAGGACAAAATGAGGTATGCCAGTTCATATCTCAACTTTGTCCCCTCTGACTCCCCACCTTGGTACAACTTTTCCTGTCAGGGCCCTCCCGTGTGTGGGGAGTGTTTTCATTGACACTTCTCCTGAGAAGGGTTTCCAGCCTCTGCCTCCATTAGAATAATGAGGTCTGCCTCTCCTTCCCACTCCTCCACTTTCTAGAATCTGCTGCATTGAAGATTTAGAAGTTGGGGATCAATAATTCTTGGCCTGTCTCCTCCCTCCCCCAATCTGGCAGCCAGAATCAGGGCTGGGGAACTTGGTGGGTCTCTTCGGCAGGACTGGGCTATTTACAGCTAATTGGAAAAACATCCATCACTGAGCATGCCCCCCATAAATCGGAGTTAAACTTAAACAAGAAAATCAAAAGCAAGCCACAGGTCTCAAGATAAACGATTTGGCCCAGTGCCTCCAGACTCTGCAGAAGGCTAAGCTGGCTGTGACACCTCCCCCTCTCCTTCCCTGGCCCTACTGCCAGCTGAACGCCAAAGCTGCTACTTCATCTCTCTTCTCCATTTTTTTCCCACTAATGGCATAGCCTCCACCTTTGTCTTATTTCTATTTTTTTCTCCTCTCCTATGCTCTATCCTCTGTTGCTGTCTCCTTCCCTTCATTTTCATATTTTCTTTTGTTATCTTCTATTTTCTCTTCTCATTTTCTTTTCTTCTTCCTCCTCTCTGTTCTTCTCTCCAGTTATTTCCTAGTACACCTTCTCCTCCTTCTCTCCCTCCTTCCAATCATACAACAAATATTTGTTCAGCATCAGCTTCCTGCCTGCCATTCTTCTAAGCACCAGGGACCCAAGCCAAGTGAGAACTTCCAAAAATCTTCACACTTATAAAGTTGTATTATATGGAAGTATAAATAGATGATGGCAAATCCTGAAGAAAACAATACAAGGAAGTGAACTGAGAGAGGAGGGAAGGAATTGTGTCTTTAGACTCCTTGAGCGTAATTACTCTACCCGTTTTGCAAGTTCACAGGCACTTGATGTTGGTGAGGCTGTTGGTCTTGCTACTGCTGTTGCTATGGTATTTACTGAGCCCAAAGTGAATTTTGTTCTGGCGAATCCTCTGTTCCAGCCTAAAGAACTTAAAGCCCAATGTTGTTCTTCAGATGCCATAGAGTTGTGCCCTAGGAAAGTAGTGCCCTTTCGTTTTCTTCTTCACATTTTGCAAAGGAGTCAAAGGACTGTTTATACTCGGTGTCCTAATGGGGAAATGCATAGTACAAAGGTGAGCCAAGGAAGGTCTGGGAGCTTGTGGGGATGGGAGTGTGAAGAGAGTGGATTCTGATGGTGGATTACCTGCTTCAAATATCCACCCCACCACTTACCAGCAGTACTATATTAAACATGCAGCTTACATCTCTGTGCATAAATTCCCTGAGCTGTAAAGCAAGGATGGTAAGAATAAAACTCTAGGATGATGGCGAATCTATAGAAGATGTACCACAGCAGGCACACAGAGCCCTCTCTGTTGGCAGACAAGCCAAGATACCCCAGCAGCGGAGCATCGGATAACAGTTGTTTTTTCTAAACTAAAACCTCTTCAGGTTTAATTGGTGTGTGTTGATACTTTGCGATAGGTAAGTGGGTTTGGGGCTGCAGTTTGGGCACTCAGTCTCTAAAAGGTTGCCCATCACTGCTCTAGGAGGATGTTGTAAGGATTGAAATTAGTCGATATCTCTAAAGCATTTATGTGGAGGTTAGAGTTGGAGAAGAACAAGTTGTGACAGAGTCAAGCACCACTGGATTTGTTATAGAGTGCAGGTGGGGGAGAACTGCAAATCTGCTGCCCACTCATTGGTTGAGTTCAGGTAAGCCTCATTGTACATTCATCTCCTTCTTTTTTGTCTGTAACATGGGAGGTTGGAAGGGTAGAAGCTGGTAAAATTTCATCTTAGAGGTCACTTCTCATTCATATGTCAATGGCACTAGCTATGCATTTGCGAGAGTCTTCTGTTCTTAAAATATACCTGGCTTACAGCTCTAGTTCCCTCTGTATTCTGTTCTACTCCATGCCCAGTGCCTCTCCCTTTCTGGTATGGTGACTGCCTATGACATCAGAATGCCGTCTGCCATCCTGTTGTCCTGTGCTGATTGCCTTCCTCTTCTTTGAACACACAGGCCTATTTGGAGGCCCAGCCCCATCAGCCCTCTCCCCACCATTGTCACCTACATCCAAGCTCCTCCTTAGCAAATACAATGAGGCAGGAGTTCCTTGTGGGCTGCCCAGGGCATGTGAGCCAGCCTGGCTGGGACAAAGAAGACATAATGAAGTACAAGAAGGACCAGGAAGAAAAACATAAAAATAGCAGAAAACATGAATCTCTGTGCGGACTGGAAACAGTCATCTCATAGCATTTGGGACTCCATGTTAACTCATTGTACACTCTTCACTTCCATTTGAAAAATAGTATCTGACCTACATTTTCCAAAGCTAGGAACACATGGACATGAATCAAGGCATCCAGCTGCTGCCATCTTGAAGGGGAAGTTGGATCTCTAGGGTCATGTGAAGGTGACAGTACAGTAGTTTCTAGTTTATCTTTACCATCACTTCTCTGTATGACCATGACCAAGTAACTAACTGTCTCTGAGTCTCTTTCCTGGTCTCTAAGTAGAGGTTTAAGAGGGATGCTAAAAAGCACCTGAGTCAGGGGAGGTCATGGCCTTCCTCGAGGCCCTGCATGTGCTACATGGTTTGGGAGATGGTGTTAGATGACTTCAGAAGACAAAGTATACCAGGTGCTGAACTGAGCCCCTCATTCTAGGTTTGAGCCAAAAGAGAGAAGGAGGAAGAGTAGCTAAATAGGGGATGGCTTCCTGGTAGAGTTGAGAGTAGAAGGTGGCCTAGCTCTCAGCTATGACTTTGCCACTTCTCTTCCACATGAAATGAACCAATAGATTTAATAGTCTCATCTCTGAAGTGAGGTGACAGTACAGTGACATTACCCTCACAGGGTAATGGTAAAAGCTAAATGAGATACTGATGATCTCTTGTATAACTTCTACTCCTATCTACAAATTTCTCACCTTTTCTTCTGCTGCTGTCCTCATCCTTGCCACCTGCACCATTTGCTTAAAAACTCTAAGAGCCCTTTTTCAGTCATCTTAACTTGCTGGGATCCACCCCATTATTCACTCTGGAGCCAATGTGATCATTTTTTTTTAAGTAAGTAGAGATCATCTTGTTTCTTTGCTTAGCTTTCAATGCATTCATTTCTGGGTGGATGAAATATGAATGTTTTACCCACCCAAAAGCCCCAAGTGGTGTTTCCCTCCTGTATCCCCAGGGCTGTCTCCCCTCCTCCCCTCCAGCCATCTACCCCAACACTCTGTCCTGCTGGAAGCTTCACAGACTTTCTGTCCTGGAATTCTCTCCTTTGTTCTTTCACCCCCACTTACTCTGCATCTGCACTTAAATGATATCTTCTGTGAATTCATCTCATGCCTCAGTTTCTACATTTTATTCTACTCCAGTTTCTGAGATACTCCCTCTGTGTAGACACCATCACCACACTACTTTATTATTGACTGATATGTAAGTCTGTGTCCTCCAGTCCCATGACAGAGAGAGAACTGGTGTTTGATTCAGCCAGATCTGGCTGTGAGTTCTGACCTTATCTATCCCTCCTGTCTGGCCCTGGATGAACCCTGAACCTCTGGGCACTTACTTCCCTTTCAAAAAT